TAATGTAATGCTTCTATAATTAGAGCACTTCTTGTGGTCTCTCTTCTTGAGTAGGGTTACAACAACTCCCGTTCTCCAGTCTGCTGGTGCCTCTCCCGTAGTCATCGCAGTTTGACAGAAACGTGTAAGCCAGCGCATACGTTGTTCGCCTAATGCCTTGAGCATCTCAGGGCGGATTTCATCAATTTCAGCAGGCCTTCCATTTTCCTAGATTTTCACAGCATGCGAAAATTCCATGTACAGAGAAGGACGAGTCTTCCTGCGCTTACATGGGGTCAATGAGTTCCTCAAAGTACTCTGTCCATTTGTCCATTGCCGAAGAATGTCCTCATCCTCGGTAAGAGGGTGTCCAGTCCTGTCCTTTAACACTATGAGCCTGCTCTTCGTTTGACCTCGGAGCCGGCCGATGGTCTGCCAGAATACCTTGTTTGCCGTGTGGAAATTCGACTCCAACACCTCACCGAACTTCTCGCAAGAATCAGCTTTTGCTTTCGCCTGCTTTGGCTGCCACCTTGCGTGCCTCGACATATTGCACACGAACAGAAGGCTCTTTGGTTCGAAGCCACTTCTTAAATGCAGCCTTTCTGTCTTTAACTTCCTGTGTTGTACCTTTCCTGTCCACCAGGAAGTTCTTTTCTGACCTCCAGGCGTAAGGCCAAACTGTTTAAATCCACAGTATTCGGCGGCAGCCTCAAGTATGCCGCTCTCAAAGAGCTGCCACTCGGTTTCTACATCACCAGTCATCACTGGAATCTGTTCAAACCGTCGTTCGATGTTGTTTGCAAATTTCGCTCTCGTGCCCACCGTTGATAATGTTTCCCATTTGATTCTCTGATTGTTTCTACCACCAGATCTCCATTTCTTGTAGCATGCCAACAACGTGATCGGTTTAACACGAACATTCATTACTGAGCGTCTTAAGTCAGCCGATACGATTATCAAATCGATCATCCACTTCTGTGCACAAGCTTCCCGGTACCATGTATACCTATGCACTCTTCGATGCTCGAAGAAGGTGTTCATAGTGGACAGTCCGTTGTTTGCACAAAACCGCAGCAACTTCATGCCGTTATTGTTAAGGTCGCTAAGGCCGTTTTTTACAATCACGCTGACCCACTTTTTAGCGTCTATTCCGACATGGATATTAGAAGTCTGAGGGACTCCGTATTCGCACTTCGTACAGAGCACACTGCAATTCCTCAAGGAATTCATATTCTCTCTCTAAATTAGGCGCATAGACCAGTAACAAAGTCAACGCTTTAGCCTGTTGTAGCTTCAGTCACAAGATTGCCACCCTTCCACTGACAAGCTTCCAATCAGTGATTCTAACAGCAAGGTGGGGTTCTACAAGGACAAAAACACCGAGCTGAGCGCGAGTCATAATATGGACATCTGAGCAGAATACCGCTACCCGCAGAGGTTCAGGATGCAAGAGCCTGGGCGCTTTGTCGACGAGAGTCCAACAATGTCGAGTTGCTACTTTATGGCCTCATCAACTAATTCTTGTTCTTTTCCTCTGAGTGAGGATACGTTCCAATTTCCGACTTTAAGCTCCCACTGGTGATGTTGTCGTGGAGCCTCTTCTGACGTGCTATAATGGCATCGCGGTGTCTGCCTCCTCCGTTCAGAACGGGCAGCGACTCCCTTGCTGATTGGTATCGTCGTTGTCGTTCAGTCGATCTTCATCAGCAGCTGTTGTGATGCCATGCCCTCGGCTGCCAGAAGGCGATGTGCAGGTTCTGATCGCCCGTCGACTTTTCGCAGCCTGGTCGCTACTTGGTAACCCGGGCAAAGACCGGGCGGGTATAATTTTCGATGATGTCAATACCATGTTGGATAGGTGGCGAAATTTTACGTAAACTTTGCCACGGTCTCCAGCCCTCCTCCTTTCTCAACCGGGCTCGAGACCATCAGCAACGGCGAGTTCAGTATTATGAACTGAAATCACAAAATTACAGGCGGAATTTTGCAAGCTGCTGCATGTGGTAGCTACCCCAGAACATGGGGGTCATGCTTTTTATAAACAAAACTTCCTGTGTCGGCAGAGATTAAAAACATTCCAGCGATAACTTTGGTCATATCCGTTTTGTGGTCATTTATCAACTACAAAGATATCCCACAACTTAATCTAGAGTATCGAACTGGTTTTGAATCCAATCTTTTCCCATTCGAAAATTTGCTTTGGAGACGTGTAGAAAACTGAGGAGTTTGTGATTTCTAATAGCCGTTCTCTGCCAAACTTTAATCATGTACTTAACTTGCGCCATTGTTTTTAATTAAGCTTTTGATGACGTGCCAACCTTCGTTTCGACGCGACCAATCAGAGTGCTTCGTTTTTGAAAGCAACATATACTGAACGCTTACAGTTATGGCGGGTATCAAATGTTTCCTTTACTTAGGTGGTACTCGTTACTGCACCTCGGGAGAGTTAAATTTGAATAGAACATCTGAGTTTCGAACCCGCAAACTTTGGACCGAGTCTAACCCCTGTCTACTGATTTACTTCAAGAAATGCAAATGAAGAATAAACTTTCAATTTCACGGAATCAACGTGGAATATCTGTGCCGTTTCACTGTTCACTACAATGAACGCTTCAAACCC